GCCAAATACTTTCTCCATCAATCTCACGAGGAGAGAGAACACGCCGAGAAGCTGATGAAGCTGCAGAACCAGCGCGGTGGCTGCATCTTCCTTCAGGATATCAAGAAACCAGAGGAGCCGGGGAGATGGCTCAGTGGAAAAAGCGCTTCCCTGGCAAGCGCAAGGGCCTGAGTTCAATCCCTGGTTCTGCCAAAAAGAAAAAAAGAAACCAGACTGTGATGACTGGGAAAATGGGCTGGACGCGATGGCGTGCGCGCTGTGCTTGGAGGAGTGTGAATCCGTCTCTCCTGGAGCTGCACAAGAGAACGATCTGCACCTGTATGTCTTCAGCCAGACGCACCACCTGGATGAGCAGGTGAAGGCCATCAAAGAGCTGGGTCACCACGTGACCAGCCTGCGCAAGCCGGCAGCCCCCTCCCCCAGTCCCGCAAAGTGGGAGTACCTCTTTGACAAGCATACCCTGGGGGACAGTGACAATGAGAGCTAATGTCACATGCGTGTTCAGGCTACCCTAACCTTTCCTATGAACTGTACCAGAATAGCTACTTAATTCCTTCAAATAAAGAAATTTGGGTGGGGGATTTACCTTCTGGGAATACAGCAAGTTAGAAAAAAGCCCTGCAGAGAGAGGAGAGGGGAGGGGAGGGAGGGAAGAAGGGAGAGCAGGGAGAGGGAGAGAGAGGGGGAGCACGCTGACACTGACCAGGGCTCTTGACCTGAGCTGCATCTCCAGCCCTTTCTATTTTTAATTTTTTTTTGCAGAACCAGGGTTTGAACTCAGGCCTTTGCGCTTGCCAGGCAAGTGCTTATTCTACTGAGCCATCTCCCTGGCCTTTTTATTTTTTTATGAGCAGAATATATTTATTGAGAAAAAGAAAGCTCCTGTCCAAGAGGGACAGGAGGGGGACCTGAGTGGGCAGTTCCCCTTTTTTATTTTGAGAGCATCTCACCAGGTCACCCAGGCTTCAGCCTTCCGTGGTGTGGCGAGTCAGGGGCTGAGAAGGAACTCCAGGGGAGAAGGTAAACTACAGATGCAGTTCAGAGAGGAAATGAAAACTAGATTTCTTACAGACTCACTGGCCACTCTGCGGCATGGGATTGTCTGGGGTGGGAGGGGAGATGTGGTAGGGAGCTATGATGAGGGCCAGTAGTGTGAAGGTGGGACTCTGGGTATAACCAGAGTAGGGCTTACTCTTGGATTAGACATGGGGCTGAACAAAGGGCAGAACACTGCCAGGCATGGTGGCCTATCCCTATAATCCCAGCACCCAGGAGGCTGAGGCAGGAGGCTCACCTGGAGCTGTATTTTAGGACAGCCTGAAATACAGTAAGAGCCTGTTTCAAAAGTCACCCCCCCCCAAATAAGAAAGTCCCCAGAACAAAGATGACACCCACTACAGAAAACCGGGCAAGAGGAAAAAAAGGCTCAGCAAACATCCACCCTGTGAGGCCTCCCCCAGTAAGCAGAGGCTTTATCTTGGGAGTCCTGCCCCAGACAGAGGCAGCATGGAAACTCAGCACACATTGTGGCTTCCTCATCTGAGACTGAGCCAGCCCCCTGAGCACAAAAGCGTCAAGGACCAAGCCCACTGCAGACTGCAGCTTGACACTGGCCTGTTGTGAAGGCACCCAGCAGACCAGGTCTCTCCCATCCTGGGGGTTGGGGGGAGTGTCTTTTGGGGCAGCCAGAACCCAACCTGGCGGCAAGAGCTCCAGCCATAATTTCTAGATCCAACTCAAGGCAGAGCCTCCAAAGCATCCTGCTGCACCCACCTTGCCCTCAAATGGTCACTCAATCCACTTAAGCCACAGTAAAGATGAACAAATGCCAGAGACCATGGTTGTGGGTACTGCATCACTTTATTTCTCAGGTTTTCCAACTTCACCTGTGAACAATGCAAGTTCAGTGCCCACCTGCCTGGCCATCACAGGCCCCCCACTAAAGCTGCGACTCTGGCTAGCAGAGGCCCCGGGGGCCCAGCAGTGGGTCAGGCCAGCCCCCCAGTAATCTCAGGTATCCTGGGACCTTCCCGTGAAGGCCATCCCTGCTGCTACTCATGCTGGGTCTGACACCTCCTCCTCGGGGGACACAAGGCAGAAGCCACAGGGGAGCCCACATTCAATTCTCATGTTCCTTTGGGAAAAGATGGTGCCACCCCAGAAGACTGAAGACACCTGCCCCGTGGGACAGATAATCACATGATGCTCCCCCTCTTCTTTCCAAGAAAAACTGAAAGCTGCTTGGCTAGCCAACCTCCATACCCCCCACAGGCATGCAGCTGACAATATCAGCAAGAGGCCCTGTGCACCCACTTAAAGCAAAGCAAAAACTAAAACTTAATGGGCGTGGTGGTGCACGCCAGCAATCCCAGCACTTGGGAGCTGAGGCAGAACTGTTGTGAGTTCCAGACCAGCATGGGCTACAAAGTGAACTCAATGCCAGCCTGAACTGCATAGCAAGACCCTGTCGCAAAAAGACAAAACACAACAAACAAAAATGTGACCAGCCAACAACCAAAGACCATCTGCACTGCTGTAGCTCTCAAGAGAAGACCAGATGGCTGAATTCTGGTTCTCTGCGGCCCAGAGCCAGGAAATAACACAAATATGCCCTTGGACTCAGGGTGGATCCTGCAGGAACAGAGCAGAGGGCGTTGTGGCCAAGCTGGGGGGACACTGCAGGCCCTGACCCTTGCAGGAGCCCCTCCCGTCAGCCGTCCACCAGGGTGAGGCCTTCATAGAGTGCACGCTTCCACATGTAGTAGGTGGAGCGAGCTGTGAGCGGGAAGAGGGCGCTGAACTCCTTGTAGGAGGGGAAGCTCTTGGACTGGAAGCGCTTCTGCAGGTACAGCTTGGCCTGGGCCTTGAACTTCGTGGTGGTGAGCATGTCCATCACCAGCACCTGGCCGTCCCTGTCGCCTGCAGCTGCCACCACAGGGTGGCTCAATACGGCCCCACTGCGGGGCTGGCCCTGGGCTGTGGCCCCCTCCCACAGGGCCCCCTCTCTGGGGGGTCCTCCTGGGACCTTTGTGGGGTCACTTCCAGAAGTCCCCAAAGGGAGGGGCCCTGCTGGTGGGACCATCACAGTTGCCCCGTTCCTGCCGGCCTCCTGCTCCCGTGTGCCCAAGGAGGGTGACAGCCTCTGGGGTTTGGACAGGCCTCTGGGCCAGCCCCAGGCAAGGCTCTTCCAGGCCCAAAACGCGGAGGGTGACAGGCTAGGGTAGCGGAGGCGGAAGCGACAGAAGGGCAGATGCCCACTCAGCACCTGCCTGCGGGCGGCCCTGCGTAGGCGCCGCTGCCAGCGGGAAAGGGGCATCCTCCGGGGCAGGAGCTCCGGGGGCACAGGTGCCCCCCCACCCCTGGCTTCCTCTGCCTGCTGCTTCCCCTCTCTCTTCGGAGAGAGCAGGACCACCTCCCTGACAGGCACTGGCTGAGGCTCCTGGGCAGCAACAATGGCCGGGGGTGGCTTGAAGCTGGGGTTCCTGCGGAGGGCCTTGCGCCGCCAGTTGTAGTAGGTGGACCTGGAGATGCCGGGGAACCTGCGTTTGAAGCAGCGGTAGGGCACCAGTGTGTTCAGGGAGATGCAGTGCTCCAGGTACAGCTTGGCCCGCTGCATCAAGACCACTCCAGGGGTGGCGGGCGCCAGCGGGGGCTGGCCTGGGCCCTCGGTGGCCTTCTCTGATGGCAGCTTCTCCAGCTCCAGAGCCAGAGACTCCTTGGGGGCTGGGGCTAGGCAGGCAGCAGAACCCAGCAGCTCCTGCTTCCAGGCATAGTAGGTGGAGCGAGAGATCTCAGGGAACCTCTGGAGGAACTGCTGCAGCGGCACGACACCTCCTCGGTGGAAGCTGTCCTGCAGGAAGTATTTGGCGGAGAAGCGGGTGGCCACCTTCTGCCGGTGTTCCTGGGACTGCCTCCGCCAGCGGTAGAAGGTGCTCTTGGTGACGCTGTAGCGCTCACAGAGGTGCGAATAGCTGAGGCCAGGCTCCCGGTTGAGAAGCTCCAAGGTCCGAGCCGGCGGGGGCAGCGGGGGCAGCGGGGGCAGTGGGGTTGGGTCCACACTGGGTGTGTCATCAGCCTCCACCTCTTCCAGCCCCACCACGGGTGCAAAGTACTGGTGGCGGAAGAGGCGGCTGCCCAGCGGCTGCCCAGCCCACATGATGTGCAGTGTGCTGGGCACGTGGTCGCAGCGCCGGGGCCGGATGACCCGGTTGAAGTAGGGGCGAATCCTGAGGTTGCGCATGGGGTAGATGGAGTAGATATTGCGCTGCAGCACCGAGGCCAGGGCGTACAGGTGCCACACGTTAGAGAAGCTGCTCGGGAAGCAGGTGGCCTTGACGTCTGCGTCGAAGATGGCCTCCAGGGTGGCTGACGGCAGGTTGGTCATCTCGGGGGACTCTTCTGAGCACAGGGAGTAGCGCACGGCCTGCAGCATCACCTTGGAGTCGATCATGCCCTGGAGGTAGTAGTGCCGGTGCAGCAGCATCTCCACCACTGTGCGAGCCCGCAGCTCCAGGCTAAGGCCCACGTCGCCCCACAGCAGCATGCTGGCCGCCTCGAACAGCAGGCTGCCCCCGCCCGGACACACCAGCGGCAGCATGTTCCGCGGGGCATCATCGGGGTACAGGCTCAAGGCCACAGAGTCCACCTCCAGCACCTGGACCCCGGGGCCCCCCTTGCGGCAGGTGGGGAGGGCGAAGGAAGACAGGACCTGCTTGGCCTCTAGCGCAGTGCTGACCAGGCCCTCCAGACCCTCACACTCCACGGCCTCCTGCAGCTCCCTCAGCACCTGCTCCACCAGCTGGTCCCGAGAAGCCATCCTGCAGGGTAAAGAGCAGAGGTTAGGACAAGGTGCCGGGTCCTGCCCTGCTCCAGCGCCCTGTGCCTTCTCCTGAAAGGCAATATCCAGCAACTCCCATTCCCCATAGCCGATAACAGCTACAGCCTTCTTGGATTTGCTTAGCCACTCAGCGGTACAGGAAGAGTGTGGGCTCTGGGACTTGCCTTGGAATCTTGCATCTGATGTTGGCTTGGCCACCTTAGGCAAGCCACTCAACCTGCCAGCCTGCTTACTTTTCCATAAAAACACAAGGACAATAATAATCTACCTTGGGCCGGGGAGATAGCTCGGTAGAATAAGTGCTTGCCTGGGAAGTGCAAGGGCCTGAGTTCAATCCCCAGTTCTGCAAAATAAATAAATAAATTATTAATAATAATAATAATAATAATAATCTACCTTAAACCAGGTATGGTGGCACATGCCTGTAATCTAGCACTGGGGAGGCTGAAGCAGGATGATTACTGAAAGTTCAAGACCAGGCTGGACTACACAGTAAGCTCAAGGCCAGCCTGAGCTGCATAGCAAGACTCTGCCTCAAAAAGACAAACAGGGCTGGTCAGGTAGCTCAGTGGACTACAGTGCCTGTTAAGGTAGATGCTGGATTGGACTGGGGTTCAATCCAGCACCACTGCTCCGCTAGCCCTGCCCCGGGGTGCATGCTGAGGCAGTCAACTGAGACTGGGTGGGTGGCCCACACCTGTAATCCCAGCACTTGGCTTTCTTTTTTTGGTGGCACTGGGGATTGAACTCAGGACCTGTGCTTGCCAAGCAAGTGCTTATTCTACTGAGCCATCTCCCCAGCCCCAATCCCAGCGCTTGGAGAATCCCTATAATGGATAAGAGAATCCCTACAAATTCGATGTATGTAGTGAGACCCTGCACTAAATACATTAAAAAAAAAAAAAAAAGACAAATCATCATCATCTATGTTACAGTTGTGACATGTATAACTGAGCTACAGTTAACAGATGGCGATAGGGGCCAGGGAGATGGCTTAGTGGAATAAGTGCTTCCCTGGCAAGTACAAGGGCCTGGGTTCAATCCCCAGTTCCGCCCGGAAAAAAAAAAACAAAAAACAGATGGCGATATAGAAATATACACACATGTGCATTCTTACACTTAACATATAAAAGCTGTGCCTTTCTGTACTTACTAAACTTAAAATGGGAAGGCTGGGCTCCGTGGAACACTGCAATCTCAGCACTCAGGAGGCCGAGGCAGGAAGATCGCTGCTCACAAGGCCAGCCTGGGCTGCACTGTGAGTACATGGCAAGACTGTCACTCAAAAGAAAAAGAACTGGACATTATGGCCCAGTAATCCCAGCACTCCGCTATTCTGGAGGTCACAAATACAAGCCCAGCCTGAACAACTTAGAAACTTAATGAAACAGTCTCAAAGATTTTTTTTTTTTTTTGGCATTTGGTGCAGGATCTCACTCGGATCAGACTCTTAGTGATTCTCCTATTTTCAGTCTCCCAAACGCTGGGATTACAGGCGCATACCCCACACCCAGTCTCAATCTCAGTTGCTATCTCAGTGCGGGGGGGGGGGGGGGGGGGGGGGGGGGGGGGGGGGGGGGCAGGGCTGGCACAGCACACTGGGGATCGAACCCGGTCACTGGGCTCTGCCAAGCAGGCACTTTAATCCTTTGAACTATTTGGCCAGCCCTTCAAAGATTTTTTTTAAGTGGTTGGGGAGGTAGCTCACGGCAAATGCCTTGTGTTTAGGGCCAGCAAGATAGCTCAGCAGTCTAAGCACCTGCCTGGCAAGCAACAGTCCAGAGTTCGATATGCGGCACCAAAAAGAAAAAATGTCTTCCAGTGAAGCAGTAAAGGTAAGTTTATTAAAGCACAAGCACGTTTTGTTTTTGTTTTTGCAGAACTGGGGACTGATCTCAGGCCCTTGCGCTTGCCAGGGAAGCGCTTATTCCACTGAGCCATCTCCCCGGCCCCATGTGTTTTCAACACTGGAAGTGACCATGTGGACAGTCACCCTAGAACACCTCTGCTGCCCACTGAGCGCAAGGCCCGCCTCCGGTGGGCTGCTGAGTTTTGTGACACACTGGCAAGGCCGTAGCAAGGAACACCACTCTTGCTTTTTTCCTGTCCACTTGGAAGGCCTGGCAGACATTAGTCCCGTCGCCTCACACAGGCTTAGCAGACACTTTCTCCCAAGTGAACCGAGTGGCTCTCATGGCGCGCCTCCGACAGCCGGCCTTGCTTTCTCCCGAGTGTTCTGTCTTTCACTTGGCCCAAGTTTGCCCTGTAGAGCCAGTTTCTCCCTCGCTCTTCACCGTTATTTTTCAAACAAAACTGTGCCACTGGTTTTCAGGGAGAAAGAGAAGTAAGATCACCACTTCAATGAAGATTCTGAACTTTACTTTGAAATCTGAAGCCAGCCGTAGTGGTGCACACCCACAATCCTAGCCTAGGGAGGCTGAGGCAGGAGGCACCCTTGAAGTCAATGCAGGGGCAGCCGCCACACACACTCAATTTTTGGAAAACCTGCATTTATGAGATCAGTGGTGACTTATTAAAGTTATTTTTACGCTGTATCATGAAATTATCAATATTTTCATTAAAGAGCTACATCACTCAATGAACACTTCAAATAAATCAAGAAATAACATTACAAAATTATGTACTTTTTTTTTTTTTTGCGGAACCGGAGATTGAACTCAGGCCCTTGCGCTTGCCAGGCAAGCACTTATTCTACTGAGCCATTTCCCCAGTCCACCCCCCCAAAAAAATTATGTACATTGTAAGCGCCTGCCTGGCAAGTACGGGGTCCCAAGTTCAATCTCCGATTCTTGGGGGAAAAAAATTATGAACTTTGGCCAGGAGTGGTGGCGGCACACTCCTGTAACCCCAGCACACTCAGGAGGCTCAGACAGAAAGATCCTCCTGGGGGCCGGGGAGATGGCTCAGTGGAATAAGTGCTTCCCTGGCAAGCACAAGGGCCTGAGTTCAATCCCCGGTTCCACCAAAAAAAAAAACACAGAAAGATCCTCCTGGAGTTCAAGACCAGCCTGCACAACAAAGCAAGTCCAAAGCCAGCGTGAGCAAACAGCAAGACTATCTTAGAAACCAAAGCCAAAAAAACAAAATATCATGCACTTTATAAAAGATCTGAAGTAGTAGGCTGGGGAGCTAGCTCGGTAGAATAAGCGCTTGCCTGGCAAGTGTAGGGTCCTGCGTTCAATCCCCGGTTCCGCCAAAAAAAAAAACAAAAAAAGATCGGAAGTAGTGTAGAGACCAACAGATTTTAAGGTTCCAGAGTACACAAAAAGTTCAGAGGATGTTTTCAAGTGTCACATTTTAACTAAGACCGGGCAAAACTACAGTTGTCAGATTTTGATGCAGCGCCAAAATGAAGCAAAAAGCTCACGGAAAAAGCTACCGCAACACCAGCCTTCTCCCGGCTACACATGGGGGCAAGGTGGAATTTTCTTCATGTTATTTCCACCAAAAGTATGTTATCAAAACAGATCGAGCATATCTATTTGGGGAGAAAAGCAAAATAGAGACTTCCCACTACTGTTTTACTTTCTAGAGGAGTTATTTTTACAACCATGATTATTACTTTTTCTGGTACGGGAAATCGAACTCCCAACCTTGTGCTTGCCGGGCAGGCGCTGTGCAGGAGAGCTACATCCCTGACCCTGTTACCTTTTTTCTGGTCTTGAGACAGTGTCTCACTATACAGTTCAGGTTGTCCTTGAACACACAACAATCTTCCCTTTTCTTTTTTCTCTAGGACAGGGCCTACAGGGTCCCACTACCCAGATTGGACTCCTAGTGATCCTCCCTCCTGTTTACAGCCCCCCAAGCGCTGGATCTCAACTGTCGTCTCAGTGTGCCCCAGGGGTCGGGCGCTCGGGATTGAACCCTGGGCGCTTCACTCTGCCTAAACAGGCACTTTAGTCTGCTGAGTTATCAGGCTGGTCCCCTCCTGCCTCTTGAGTGCTGGGATTACAGGCATGAGCCACCATACCAGTACTATTTTTTTTTATGCCTGTTATCTCATTTGTTTTCATTTAGTACAGGGTGTACAGGGTCACATTACACAAATCAGACCCCTAGCGTGCCTCCTGTTTTCGGCCTCTCAAGTGCTGGGATTCCAGGCCGCCATGCCCAGTCTCAGTCGCTGTCTCAGTGCACTCCTGGGGTGGGGCCAGCCCAGCAAGCCAAGGGTCAAACCTTTGGCCCCTGCGGCTGCCTAAGCAGGTGCTTTAGTCCGCTAAGCTCTCTGATGGGCCTCTATTTTTAAATAAATGTTCTCAAATTCTGCCTTTGGGGAAGAGGTGCTAAGAACCAAATTTAGGGCTGGGGATATAGCTCAGCAGCATAAGTGCCTGGTTGGCCAGTACAAGTTCCTGAGTTCCATCTCTGGTGCCACCAAAAAACAAATCTGTCTTAGGGGGCCGGGGAGATGGCTCAGTGCAATAAGGGCTTCCCTGGCAAGCACAAGGGCCCGAGTTCAATCCCAGGTTCCGGAAAAAAAAAAAAATTAGTACCTCATAATTGCTAGGCAAGCACACCACCAAGCAGCCGCGCTAGTCCCTCAGGTTTTTGTTGTTTTAATGTATTTGGTACAAGGGCTCACTATACAACTCTGACTCATAGTGATCCTGTTTTCAGCCTCCCCAGCACTGGGATTACAGGCATACATCATTACACCGACTCTGTGGCCAGGGATCAATCTGCGGTCCCTGAGCTTGTCTAAGCTTGCGTAAGCAGGTGCTTTAGTCCGCTGAGCTATCTAGCCAATCCTCTAGTCCTTCAGTTTTAATTTGGAATAGAGAATACACTGATAGATACAACCTGCAAACAAAAGCTCTTCAAAGTCCTCAGATTTTAAGAGCAGAAAGAGACCTTGAAACAAAAAATGTCCTGGAATAAAGACGGTCTTTTCAAAGGGTACCAGGCAAAAGAAAAAAAGCAAGACTTTTTTGGTGGAGCTGGGGATTGAACTCAGGCCCTTGTGCTTGCCAGGGAAGCATTTATTCCACTGAGCCATCTCCCCGCCCCCCCCAAAGACTTCTGAGATCAAAGGGCTGCAGACCCACACTGCAGGGCAGACTGGGGTCTGATAACCAGGATTAGGCCGCTGTGTAGCACTGGCAGGTCACTGCTCTAAACCCAGCAGCAGGACTTGAAGGTAGTTCCTACCACTATCTCCAAGTCACGGCCAAACCTGCCCAAGGCCCACAGATCAGAGGTTGAAATCCAGTGTTCCCGCAGCTGCCCGGCATCCGTCTCCTCAGCCCCTTCCACATGGAGTAACAATCTAGCTTCTGTGTTCAGGGCAAAGCAGAGCAGCCTCCTCTACTAGCACTGCTTTTAGATTAGAGAGGCCACCATGATCCGGTCTGGTATTTAGCTCTTCAAAGTTCAGTACCGGGCCAGGGAGATGGCTCAGGAGGATAAGCGCTTGACTGGCAAACTGAAGGATCTGAGTTCAATCCCTGGTTCCGCAAAAAAAAAAAAAAAAAAAAGAGTGTCAAAGTTCAGTACCTAGACCTTGTTTAACAACCACCTGGAAGGCTGGTGAGATGGCTCAGTGGTCTAAAGCACCTACTTAGATTAGAACAAGCTTAGCAAAGCACAGGGACCGCGGTTCAATCCCCAGCACCACACGCCAGCCAGCCCTGCCCCCTGGTGGGCTGAGCTGGCCACACACAGACACAAAATAAATAAATTAAATAAATAAATAAATAAAAACAACCACTCGGACCACACGAGGCTTGGCAGCCCAGAAGGCTTCCATGGTAGTCACTGTGGCCGCTGGCACTGTACAGCCCTGCTTTTGAGTTATGCAAATAAAAGCAGTCGTCAAGCCTGCTTTTGCCTTGCTTTGTCCTGCGTCTTGTACACACCACACGTATGCACCTCCTCATTTACAACTGATTAATGGTCTAGTCCACAGCACTCAACTGAGGCCTTAAACAAGGAACATCTGCACGTTTCTCTAGATTAACCTCAGGTGTGAACATCATACTTAGGTGTAGGCATTTTCACCTGACTGTACACTTAAAAGGGTCCTATTTGAGCCAGGCATGGTGGCACAGGCCTGCAATCCCAGCACTCAGGAGGCTAAAGCAAGAGGAACACAAGATTAAGGCCAAGCTACACAGCTAGACCCTATCTCAAAAACCCAGAGGACAGGAGCAGTTGGCTAGCTTACACACACCCTGGGTTAGGATCCCTACACCCTCCCTCAAGATTTTTTGTGCATGGCTCAGCCCCTGGGGGCGTGGCTGGCATGGCATGTGGTGCTGGGGATAGAACGTAAGTCCCTGCAATTGCCTAAGCTTGCCCAAGCAGGTGCTTTCAACAGCTGAGTTATCGCGTCACCCTCTCTCACAATTTTTCACTGTGTATTATGATTAAAACTGGCAAAAAAAGAAACCAATGAAAGCACAAACGATTTACCAGAATTACTTTTTTGGGTTTTTTTGGTAATACCAGGGATTAAACTCAGGACCCTGTGCTTGCCAGGCAAACGCTTATTCTACTGAGCTATCTCCCCAGCCCCACCATAATTATATTTTATAATCATAAAGGCCAGCTTTTTGTGAGACAGGGTCTTGCTATGTAGTTCAGTCTGGCTTTGAATATGCCTCTGCTCTCTGAGTGCTGGGATTATAGGCAGTTTAAAACTACTGGGGATCAGAGTCACCTTTGGATAAAACTTCTCAGCTGAAGGTTTCCTTAAACTATCCCTATTATAGCAACAAATCCAACTGGGCAGGATGACGCATGCCTGTAATCCCAGCTCTTGAGAGGTTAAGGCAAAAGGATCATTGAAAGTTCGAGGATACATAGGTAGATCCAGTCTCAAAAGAAAACACACTGAAGAGAAACAAATCGGGTATAACCTTTTACCAAATTTCTCCTGGTACTATATTTAACCTGGATTAGGGCTTTTCTGTTTGTCTTTTATATACCTGTCAAAAAATTTGTCTCACCAAGTGTGATGGCCCACACCCATAATCCTAACACTTAGGAGGCTGAAGCAGAACTGCTGTGAATTCGAGGCCGGCCTGGGATACAAAGTGAGTTCAAAGTCAGCCTGAGGGTGAGGAGATAGCGCCCTGAGTTCAATCCCCAGTAAGGGGGGTGGAGGGGGTCAGCCTGAAATAAACAGTGAAACCCTGCCTCCAAAAGACAAAACGACTCTACAAGAGCCTTTACGTATGCAGTAAAAACTATTAAATATTAAACTTGAGCCCTGGCATCCCAGCAAACGGGACGGTGTTCCTTCAGTTCTTCCTACCCATCGCTTGTTAACACTGTTGCACAGCTACAGACGCATGCAAGCTCTGCCAGAACCCCCAAATTAGGAAAACCACTACGTACTGGTTGCTCCCTATCGCGCTTAACTCGGGAAACTGACCAAAACCTCAAGGGGGAAAAACAGCCGTGAATAATAGATTCAAATTGTGAGAGGGGCCGGGGAGTAGAATAGTGCTTGCCTGGCAAGCGCAAGGGCCCGAGTTCAAAACCCCCCCCGGGGGGGGGGGGTAAGTAAAGCTCCTTCTACTCAGAGCCTGTTTTCTAAGCAGAACAGGTGCTTCGTGGGGGATTACAAGCCTCTCTATAGGCTTTTGAGGGGTGCTCATTTAGATTTCAGGCCTTTCCGTGTGGTCTCCCTTCCCGCCGCGTGAGTCGTCTCACGCCCACCCCATTCCTGGAGTCACTTTGCCCACTTCAACGCTGTTGAGAGGGACGTTTCAGGAGTTACCCAGCTATTAAAGCCGGGAAGATGGCTCAGTGGAAGTGGGATTAGCGCTTCCCTGGCAAGCGCAAGGGCCCGAGTTCAATCCCCGGTTCCGCCAAAAAGAAAAAACTGCAAAGCCAGGTAGTCGCGGCGGCGCACAGCTGTAATTCCGGCACTCTGAGAGGCTGAGGCAAGAGGGTCAGGTTCACGCCTGGTTTGGACAACTCAGCAAAGCTCTGTCTCAAAAATAAAGCGGGCCTGAGGCTGTAGCCTGCGTTCAATTCCCGGTACCACCCGCCTACAAAGAGGACGGAAACCCTAGCGTTCTCCTGAGCACTGTGACTCCATTACGGCAGCTCTCCGCATCCGACAGTCACTGTGCGGAGGGAAACCGAGCGCGGGAGGGCGGGCTCCACTTGCCTGTGCGCACGCGGGCTTCAGCCGCGCGCCGTCCGCCGCCCTTCCCGCGGCGCAGGCCCCCGCGCCCGGCCTGCCGGCCCCGCCCTCCCCATCGCTTCCTCTTCCCGCGAGGGGAGTGTCGGTAGGCGATGCCCCTCGACCGGCTTCCTCGAAGCTCGCTAGGGGAGCGGCGCCCCAGGCCCGCAGCCACGGCCCGGCGCGGGTGGGCGCCGCCCGCCCTTAAGTGGAGGGCGCCGATGCGGCTCAGGTGCGACGGCGGCGCCGGC